AAAAATTTCTATAATCAAAGATGTAAAGAAAATAGACGATAGTGAGACTAGGGAAATAATAATTAACGATTTTCATATTCTCCCAACCGGAGGCCACGCAGGGGTCAATCGGTTATATAACAACATAAAAAAGTATTACTTTTGGGTTGGCATGAAAAAAGATGTAGAAAACTTTATACGGAAATGTGACGATTGTCAAAGGTACAAACACTCTAGGCCTAATGTTGAACCAATGACAATAACAACAACAGCAAGTTGTGTATTTGAAAAAGTTTTTCTAGATATCGTCGGACCACTCGAAGTAGATGCTCAAAATAATCGATATGTCCTAACTCTACAGTGTGAGTTGAGCAAATTCGTGGAAGCTTACCCGTTACAAAATAAGGAAGCTGAAACTGTGGCAAAAAGTTTTGTTAATAATTTTATTTTGCGGTATGGAATCCCGTCCGAGATCGTTTCTGATCGTGGGTCGGAATTTATGAATGATACTTTGGATAAAGCTTGCAAACTTTTAAAAATAAAGAAATTAAATTCCACAGCTTACAGGCATCAAACTTTGGGGTCCCTTGAAAATACGCACAAGTCTCTGAATGCATATTTACGCATTCAATGTCAAAATTTTAAAACTGATTGGTCTTCATGTTTACCATTTTGGTGTTTCTGTTTTAATAATACAGTGCATACGGAAACCAAATATACCCCCCATGAGTTAGTTTTCGGCAGATTGTGCAACATTCCGTCTAATATAACTCAAAAAGTAGACCCTGTTTATAACTTCGATAGTTACCCTATAGAGCTCAAATACCGTTTACAGGAAGCATGTAGGGACGCGAGGAGTAACTTATTGACATCAAAAAGCAACCGTAAATTGAATTATGACAAAAATTGTAAAATTGTTAAATACAACATTGGGGATAAGATTTTACTTAAAAATGAAGCAGGAAACAAAAGTGAGCCCATTTATAAGGGTCCTTATATTGTTACGCAAATTAACTCTCCAAATATTGTAATTAGAATAGGTAAGAAATTTGTAGAGGTACATAAAAATAGAGTTAAGTTGTACTATGAATAATCTTTTTAGGGTTAAGTTATCCTATGAATAATATTTTTAAGAGTTAAGATATACTATGAACAATGTTTTTTTTTTGATATTTTTTTTTTAGTTCCATAGGAGGTGTAGTGTGTAACATCCTGTAGTTACAATAGGGTTTCACACCCTATACATTATGTAGCAATTGTATGTTTAACATTCAAATATAAATATGTATAATTAATAATAGGCAATATTGCTTATGATGAGTTTTAAAAGATAACTAGGTTAATTAGAATAAACATGCCGTCAAAAGAGGGCATATAGTTTTTGACTATTGTATTAATGTCTTCGAACTAATAAACATAAGTTGGGTTTTGTAAAAACCTTGTGTTTGATTTAAAAGTATCAAGATAACCCTGCAAGGTTATCACACCTCAACATGTCGCTGTGGCGTCCCTGAGGAAGTTGATACATGTACGTGTGGTTTTGATGCCAATCGACTGTTTTCTATGTTACATTATTGATATCACACAGGTCGGACAAAAATCACGTGGCTTTGGGGGGGTCCGACGCCCCAACATGTCGCTGTGGCGTCCCTAAGGAAGTTGATACATGTATGTCCGACAAAAATAATTATGAATAACAATGTAATTTTAAAACATGTGTAGTAAATGTCGGACAAATAAAATGAGTATTAAAGTCAGTCGGACAACAAAAGTCCTATTGATCAATTTCTGCCGAAATTCAGGATCTTCACTCCTGAGATTGCACAAAAAACACGACTGAATATCCATTATTTCTCACACGCGTGGTTTTGAATGACCGCGTTTACTTAATAATTTCCGTAAATACTCTGAGAACTATCAAAAAAACAGATCAGGGAATATGACACAGGGCCCCACAGGTATTTGACAAAGTAGGTAAATAATAAACTGACTAATATGCACGTTGCGTTTAGGCAAACTTATTTTAATTTTTTCATTGATTGTCTCAAATTTCTTGTCCGACAAATGTGATATCGTTAATGTAATGTGAAAAACTGTCGATTGGTATTAAAAACATACGTACATGTATCAACTTCCTTAGGGACGCCACAACGACATGTTGAGAGCGTCGGAGCCCCCCGAAGCCACGTGATTTTTGTCCGACATATATGATATCGGTAATGTAATACAAAAAACAGTCGATTGGCATTAAATCTACACGTACATGTATCAACTTCCTCAGGGACGCCACAGCGACATGTTGAGGGTGTCGGACCTTCCCCAAAGCCACATGGTTTTTGTCCGACAAATGTGATATCGTTAATGTAATGTAAAAAACAGTCGATTGGCATTGAAACCACACGCACATGTATCAACTTCCTTAGGGACGTCAGAACGACAACTTCACGGAGAGCTAGCGCAGCAATGTCCCATCGCCCAGGGTGGAGACATGAAAAATATTGTCCGACTTGGTGTTATGAAGCCGCTCAGGAAGTTGGGCGTGTACATGAGTTACAAAATTTTAAGGTCGATGTACTGGGGACTAAATACTTGTAGTAGTAGTAGGTACCTACTTCGTTTTTATTCATACCACCCATTGAATACTTATGAAAAGTACTATGAGTACCTATATTTTTAAAGTTGACTTTAGCATCAGAATGATATTATTGTCACCATTAAAGACGCCATGTATGATTTAAACTTAGTACCTAGTACCTACTAACCACTGTTTAGTAGTCAAAGTAGAGGCAGACCAAACCATTACTTGGCCAATCAATAATTTGGTTCATTTGTTGACAGTTTATAAATTTGTTGATAAATTAATCCAAATGAAAATTAATTTCTTGCTCCCGACCAGTTCCAAATTGAGCCGAAATTCATCCCTTTTTGAAGGTTGGCAAACTTTTGGTATTATTCAATTGAATGGTGGACATAACACCATTAATGAAGATACAGTACTCTAGAAGCGCTGGTGCTTGCAACAATACTTTTTTTTTTTTTTTTGCGGATATGCGCACTCGCAAGGAAATGTCCTATCACGCTCGAGAAGCGGCAAGTGCGCGGAAATGTCGGTGTATGTTGGTCTTGAAACGGTTCAGGTTGTAACCTGCAGGGAAAACCGTCGCAGGGAGTTTATTCCACAGCGATGCTGTTCTCCAGAGATATGAATTCTGATATAATGAGGTTCTTGGTGCCTCTAGTTTGACAGTAAATTCATGGTTACCGTCTGTTTGACGGGTTCGCCTGGTAGGCGCTACTCTCGGTGGAATCATACGTGCCAACTCTTCAGAGCATTTTCCGTGATAGTACCTGTAGAAGAGAGATAAATCGGCCACAGATCTGCGATGTTCGAGACCATCCAAGTTACGAGTAAGTGCGGGGTCATTGATCAGCTTGATAGCTCGTTTTTGCACGGTGTTCAAAAGCATTAAGGTATGTTTGGGTGCTGCACTCCATATATGTGAGCAGTACTCCATAGTTGGTCGAATCTGGGCTTTGTAGAGTGTCAGCAATTGGCTTGGTGTGTATAGATGTCTTGTACGAAATAGCACCCCCAGCTTTTGGGACGCCCTTTTAGCAATATCTGCCACGTGACTGTGCCAAGACATGTTGGTCTCTGCAGTAATCCCCAAGATGTTCAACTGACTCTGTAATGTGACAGCACTTCCAGATAGCATGATGTTTGGCTCACCGGTGCTGGTCTTTTTTGAAAACAGAGCTGCTTGGGCTTTCTGCGCGTTGAACTGTACAAGGTTTTTGTTACCCCAGTCCTCTATTATCTCCAGGTCGTTATTTATCTGCGATATTTGAGTTAGTCTAAGATGATGGAATTTACGTGCGGAAAGACCTGTGGGTGGTATGACTGAGGAGACTACATTGCCATCGTCTGCAAAGCAATAAAGTGGATTTACTGTTTTATCTATGAGGTCATTTATGTAAATCAGAAAAAGAGTTGGCGAAAGGATTGCTCCCTGGTAGGGGCTTTAAAAATTTTAGCATCGGTTTTTGAAAATCTATAGTCTCCACTGCTAAAATGGTCTGCACGAACATACGTCCATTTGCTTACTGAGCTGGATTTTAAATTTAATGCTCCTAACCACGTTTTTTCCTTATCATAAATTATCCGGAATACTAAAAAATAGTGTTAAATAGAAATACAAAATTAAAATATGTACCATGCTGTATTTTTGTGGCCTAAATGCACCTCCGACACTGGTTTTTTTCCCCTTCAATCATGTCGATGCCATAAGTTTTGTTTACTAACGGGTGAAATGATAAACAATCCGCTGGTTTTCCTCTTTTCTGACACACTGCACACTTATTAGTCATTTTGAATCCTGAATAAGAAAGTTTTACGAAATGTATAAACATGCAAAAATGATAAATTTTTAAACAATTCCACTTTAAAGCAGTGAAACACTCAAAAAAGTCGATAAAATAAACACACAATAATATATATTGACATTTACGCTGGTACGGAAATCGGTTTCTATTGGGAACCACCCAAACAATATACTCTGTTTAGCTAGACTTGTATAGTGTTCTTTTCGTTTATATAGGTATTGCTTTAGAGAGAGATGTCTAAAGATCCAAAATCTAAACGGTTTTTTGGAAATCGTACTATAGAAAACCAGCGTAAACAAAGTAAGAGAGACAAAATGAAAATATTTGGAGAGAGATCTTTGTACCATATTTGGGAGTTGATTACTCATCTTTTAGTGCTAACTAGGTATATATAATCTAAGGTACAAACTTACGAATTCGGGAGATATGCTATGCTGGTAGCCTATTTGAGTTGGATGTATGTACAACGTTGACAATAATTGTTACAAATAGAGATACAAAACTAGTTAGGAATAAATAAACAAACCTCAGAAACTTTTAGTTCCGGTACTTTTGTTCTCAGTTTTCGAATTTGGCAGCTCTTAAAAATAATCAGTCATGGTTAAATTTAATACCTAACGCAAAACCTTGTTAAATTTAACGATGTGTCAAATTAATCGAGATCAAAACTATTGGCCCTTAGTCTATAATTTTTATTTTCTGAACTTCCCCAAACTTTCCTAAAATATTTTGAGGCACATTATTAGGCTGAGAAACATGATATATGTATGTATTACGCCCTACGAGTAATGAGTATGACGAATGTTGTAGTGTTGTGTTGTCATACATAACGTAAAATGAAACAGTTTTCTTAGGAAATCCTTTTTGCGAAGCCTTTATAAACTCTAGTCCCTAATCCAATTGGCAAGTCGATGATACGTACTACATGGATAACATACTTGGAATACCCTTGAATGAGGACCCTCGTGGATCCGTGAATGACTTCATATTTTTGTAAATTTTCTGTAAATGCAACCTCAAATAACCGGGTCGATAATTTTTTTTTGCAAATTCATATCGCTAATCATCTTCATTTTAACCTTTCTTTTGGAAAGCGTATAATTTTATTTGTCTTAAATTTGATTTTAATTGCATTGTGAATATATTTAAAAAAATCATAGGTAGGTGAGTATATAAAAAACGGAAATTTAAAATCATAATATTAACTTTAAACGTGATTAACAGACCGTGCACGCATCTAATAGCAATATAATCTTTTTAATCATTGGAAAATGTATATGTTTAAATATTTATATATTAGAGAAAAAAGTTTTAGATCTGAAAGCCATATATCATTAGCTTTAAAATATACTAATTAAAATACCAACCTTGTCGTGATCGTATCCACATTTATCATGCAATTGAAATCACTTTCCTCCAGGCATTATTTATGATTAAATTATAATAAATGTCAATAAGAATAATAATAGGGACATCCATAATTTGATTTGTGACTGTATTATAAATTTTTCAATGGTTATAGCTTCCAGAAAAGCAATAACAACGTTTCTATTACCTATTGAGATTTATAACTGCAAAAAATTATTGCTAACAATAAATTGAACCTTAGTTAAATTTCCTCTGGTTTATGTTCCGCAGTTAATAAATAGACAGTTTCCAAGTATACTAAGTTGTAAACAATACTTTATTGTTGTTGAGTCGACTGAATTTTAAGACATGATTTCAATTCTGCGGACTTGAAGGTTCTATATGCTCGGTACGAAAAAAAAAGACATTAGCATTTATTTTGAAGAAGATACAATCCACTCACAATATTTGGTAGCTGAAATTGCAGACCACCAAAGAATTCTTAACAATTTAATTGTCTACACAAAATAACAAAAATAACTATAAATTGATCAATAATCATAATGAATTAATACTTATTGATTATTCAATATAAGTAGGTAGGTACATAACCATATACAGGGTGTTAATAAATAGTGGGATCAAACTTCTAGCATAAATAGTACTCATTGAAATAATAGAAAAGTTGATAGAAATATGGGTCCGCGAATGCTTAGTTTTCGTGATACAGGGTGTCAAACTTTGAAAAAAAAAATCGTTTTTCAGCCCAAAAATCCCTTTTCCATTTTTTTTTTCAAATTTGGCAGGTTTAATTGTGATAACAAAAGGTATCTTTTGACTGTAATATGACTTGCTTAATCTGAGAAAATACATCAAAGTTATAAAAAAATAGTGATATGCCATTTTTTTCCTACTTTTACTAACGTAATTGCCCTCTGGGGTGCCACTGGAATAATAACGGTTAATCTAATTGAGTCAAAAGATACCTTTTATTATAGCAAACAAATCTGCAAAGTTTAAAGAAATTCGGGAAGCGGATTTTGAAAAACCGATTTTTTCAAGCTTTGACACTTTATCCTAGAAGTTTGATCCCACTATTTGTTAACACCCTGTATAGTTTCACGGTGTTTCAGTTAATCTATCAATTGATGGAGTAGACACAACAAAGCCATAGGGCCTAACACTTTCAGCTTTGATGGCTCTAGATTTTTCTGATTTTGATTTGGACCGCCCACTAGCAGATTTTTGAGACATCTGCGATTTTTCATCTTCTTCAGACCCGTCCAATACCGGCTTAACATTGCTGCTAAACTTGAAGAAGAATTTAAGTTCTTGCTTGAAGGCCTCTTTAACCGGTATGTTGGCCTTCTTGCTGAGTTTCAGAATATTAAAGGTGTACTCGAAAAGTACCAGCACTACGCCCAGTATAGTACCGAAAATTGTGACGTAAAAGATACCTTCTACGTTTTTCAAGTCGAGCGGCGTGGCTTCAGTATCGTCATCAGACCCTGTACATTGGCCTCCGCCTTTTCTTTCTTCCCACCATTTTTTTCTTATTTTTTCAATTACTCCAGATGATTGCAACTTTAAAATTGCCGTACTCAATTTAGTTCTGAAAGGCGAATCTAGAAAAGAACAAGACTTTTCAGAAATGGATCCCACAAAAAGTTTTAAAATACATTATCAAATATACCTTTTTTTAAAGCAATCCCATATCCTTTCTCATCTAGCTGATCCCCTACGCGCATCAAATTACAATGTCTCTGGGTATTGTAATCAATGGAAATCGATTCCATAAAAAACGCATATCTTTCTTTTTCCGCCATATCCACACCATCTTTATTTTCAGATGGCATATCTTCAGGATGATCTCTCATATGTATAAAAATTTGCTCGTATAGTTCATTACCTTTACTTTTCTGGAAAATAAAATGAAAATGTTAGGATATATTATTTTTATTGAAATTCTTTCTCACGGCAAAAAAATCCATCGTAGCTCCACCAGCTTTGGATCCATATCGTATTCCATATTTTTCTGCATTTTCCACTAAACTTTTTACGTCACTGAATAAATCTACTGTATTTTCTGTAACCAAAAATGATGCCAAGTTAGCTGTATAAGAAGACACCATGATAAGGACAAAGAACCACCATACACCGGACACAAGCCTTGTTGGAATAGCTCTAAAATTGATTGATCAATTGATGTAGTATTGAGTTGGTTACACTTACTTACATTGGTGCAATTTCTGAACCTTGCTGTAACATAGCTCCAGTAGCGAACCAAACCGAATTCGACATGTTAAATTGGTTTATCAAAAATTCAGGTTCCTCCACACAAGGGTAAGGGTTGTTCCATTCATCTGGACATATCCTACCCAAGAGGAAAAACGATAGAGAAACTACTACAAAAGCTATCGCTAGAGCTATCCAGGTATCAATGGCAAACGGTTCGGCAAACGAGAAGAAGTTGGGTGGAGCCTTTTGGGGTTTTTGAAACAGGATACTAATACCTAAAAATATGAAGCTGAAATATTTGTAGTAGTGGTAGTGGTAGATGTGGATGCTTGCCTAAATTCATGAAGGGCGATGTGAAATCTACAGCCTCAGCACGATCAGAGGTTATTGTCAAATCCGTAATAGCCATATCAGCTACCTAAGACAATAAATGTTTCTTAGTTATTAGTGAACCAATAAAAATGCAAGCAGCAATCCTTTTTTTTACAGGCATAAGGCATCTTCATACTATTTATTAAACGGTGGAGCTAAAGTTTTAATACCTTAGATAAACTGACATATTTTGCAGGGAAATATCTCTAAAACTAGAAAAGATGCGGTTTGTACTAGGAGAATAAGGATTTTTTAAAGTTTTTTCTCACAGTATTGCCGGATCCTGAAAATTGATGAAATTTGGTTTCACAGACATGCCATTTTTTTGAAATAAAAATACAGCCTTATTTTTATTAAAGTAGGTACTATATTTTGTCATCGTCACAAAGCCTGAATTTTCTATTTAAGTATAAAAATTTATATTTTTTTATTCCATTTTGACGTTTAAAAATGACATTATTGAACGCATAACAATAAAGGTAAGTAGACGTTTATCACCTCAGTGATTTAAAAACATTTTAACTCACTCTCGGCATTTTAAGTCACTCTGCCCAACTAAAAATCTGAAACTTCAGTGATTTAAAATATTTTTAACTCACTCCCGGCATTTTTCCTTGTACTTTATCTTTTAAATTTCCACAAAATGGAATAAAATTTTGTATACATCGGGTGAGTTAAAATGTTTATTCATTCGAAGAAAATTAACCCACTCGCTAGGGCTCGTGGGTTAAACTTTCTTCTCATGAATAAACATTCATTTAACTCACTTGGTGTATAAATAACTATTAATTAAATTGCATTTCACTTTGTTGTTAAGGTTTTAATTAGTTAATAAAAGTATTAAAAACACAAGTGAGAAAAAAAATAAAAATCCATTTCTGAGCTTGAGATTTACTCGCGGTTTGTTTTTTCCGATAAAAAGACCCTACTCAATAAATCCTGAAAGTTTGGAGTCCCTCTGATCGCTTGAAGTATTTTTCAGAAGCTTCCAATAGTTATTTGTATACCAAGGCCGCGAAATGCCTTTTTAGCGTACGTAAAGAAAAATTATCTCGAGGACGCTAAAAAGTTTTGCGGTCATGGTATACACACTATTTTTTGCGCAACTATAAAAACTATGTAAAGTTACAGAAAAACTCTGGGGATTTGACAAGGACTTGAAACATTTTGCACGTCACATGTAGCGGCCGCGTAATTGAATTTCGCGGCCTGTGTAGCGGCCGCGAAAGCTCATTTTGCGGACGGTTGCACTTCTATGTTGAATATTTTTGGAAGGCTACACGGACAATCTTGATATTTTTCTATGTGGTGATTTTAGCAGGCCGAAGGTATGATGCATAGACGCTGATGAGTGTGGAAGCAGACCATGCGGGTTGAACTCTGATGAAACCAGGTGTTTAGCAGACTGTATGCCTCTAATTTGTCACAACTTAATAGGATTGCAAATCAATATGGTAACTGTTTAGACCTGATATTTAGCAATGTTGCAAACCTTATTATTATATATGTCCAAGCCCACCGTTAAAATTGGACAAACCGCATCCAGCGCTTGAATGCTCTCTGGAAAGGTTATCATTTGATTATATTATTAAAATTTAAAATTATGCAATCATAGAGTACTTGAGCTGGTATTATCAATGGCTGATTGGGGTAGTGTTCTTTCAATTCATAACTTGGAGAAATTAAGTCAATCATATTATCATAATATTGTTACGATTTACGATGCGCTTTCGCCACGGTATCCAGAATACATGCCAAAATTCCAGTAAAAGTCTGTTTAATTCAAGCATAGGATTATCGCATTTATTCTGAATTTCACATGTAGAGATTTACCGATATATCAAGGCCGGTATTTAGTGGAGTAAAAACAAGGGAAAAAGTCGCTTCCTTCTCGATTTTTTTTTTTTGGAGGTCTAACCACATGAAACCTATACAGGATGATCGGTTATGCTCTTGTGCATCTAAAATGGCTAATTACGATTTTTTTCGCGGGGGCAGACATTTTTTATCTCAAAAAATGTGACAAATATGTCAAAATGTTATTTTCGTGTTTTTTTAAACCCACCACGCGGTAACTCCGGAACTAATAAACCTATCAACATAATTTTTTTTTTAATCGGTAGAGGACATATGAGCGGTGATAACTGTGCTAGTTTAAATCCCATAGTGACTCAATTTTTTTTTGGAAACTGGATTGAACTTCAAATCGTACTTTATATGCAGCATGTTTTTCGGTAAGCGAGAAACTTTTTTATTTGAACGAATTTTGCCATAGTATCTGCGTATGATATGATGAAAAAGTATCAAAAAAGTAAAAAAAAAAAAAAATTCAACCATCTGGAACAAATAGTTTTCTAGTTATCCTTTATTAAAGTTATGAATATCCAGAGCGCGCGATGTAACTGCTTGTCGGCGACGCCGACGACACGAGATTTTACTAAGGATTTGAAAGTTGGTGCTCGAAAGGTTCCAAAATTTAAAGAATTTATTAAACCTTCTTCAAATAAAACGGCATTAGTATATTATTCAACCAACTATTTCTTGGAAAAGGGGCCTTCTATACTTAGTAATGAGAAAAAAATAATACTAACAGGATTCAAGAATGCCGAAAGTTGCTTTCTGCTGACCAAAAACGGTAAACCACAAAATTTAAAAAATTTAATAGCAACCAAGAAGCTGATACGAGGATGATTCTTCGCCTATTAAATGATCTTCCGACTTGCAATTCCATTCTAGTAAAATCTATTATGCTTTTATCTCTGTAATCGTAATCACTTGTCCTTTTAATTTTCAATTTTTTTTTCTATATTTTTATATTTTTGTTGTTCTACTGTCTTTTAACAATTTTATCAATGTATTGTGATTCTCTTATGTGCAATCGAATGTTCCATCCTGAAAATCTCGCACTATTTTTTATAATTCTGGCCACATAATTTTTTAAGTACAAGTCTTTGGTACAAGGTATGTAAACTTCATTTTTTTGTTAGCCCTTTTTTGATGTTCCTAATATATCTATATTTAAGCCCTGATGAAGTCCTAAACTTTTGGGCGAAACGTTGGCAAAGTCTTAACAGGCCTTTTATTTTTTGTCCTAACCGACGAATCACCCCTTTTCATTGGATACCGATAGGACACGAACTAGTCTTAATAATAATAAGTAAAAAATTATTAGTTGTTCATTGTCTTACTACTCTTACTGGTTGCGATACAACACTATCTATATTTATGTAACAAGCTGTTTTTTGCATTAAATGTGGAGATGCTTTTTTTGAATTGAATAAAGCTTCCTTTTTGTATTGATTATTGAAATAATATGATTGATTTCAATTAATGAAGTTCTTGTTATTTAATGTGGCGAACCCGTTGCTCACGATTCCAAAGTTCTTCGGCAATCGGCAAGTTGTGACGGGATCAGGCTAGTGTAGTCTGGAAGCACTTAGTGTCCTTAGTGACAAAGCAGCACGGAGGCGGCGGATAGCATGATCGCCGTTCTGTTCAAGGATTGGCTGTAGAACAACTCGTAATTGAGCAACGCTATTCAGGATCCGCACTGTTCACCCTGATAGGAAGAGGCTATAAAAGGTGCCCTAAATATAACCAGTTAACTACTGCCCGACTGGATAACCGCGTCCAGAGGGTGCACCCCATGCGGTCCAAACAAAACAAAGCAAAATCAATCAGTCTTCTGTCTTCACTTTCTAAAATTCTTGAGAAAATAATTCAGGAAAAGCTGAAATCCTTACATTATCTTGATAGCATTCTACGTGATGAACAATTTGGTTTTCGTTCATATCACTCTACTGAGATTCAGCTTGCCAGGTTGGTTAAAGAAGCGATTCGCGCCTTGCAGCGCCGCTCCCAAACGGGTGTTGTGCTGCTGGATGTCGAGAAAGCCTTTGGTCGTATCTGGCATGCTGGTCTTAGTCAAGCTTCATGACAAATATTTTCTGCCATTATCTCTTGTCAAAATTATCATTAATTTCCTCAAAGCCAGACGTTTCCATGTCAAACTCAACAAAAATACCTTCTCAAATGTCAGACCTATAGCAGCAGGAGTTCCTCAAGGTTCTGTCCTGGCTCCACTGCTCTATAATATTTACACGGCTGACATTCCCAATAATCCTCATACTAAAATGTCCATCTACGCAGATGACACTTGTATTTACACTTCACACAAATACTCACATCACATACATAGACGACTAATACTAATTAATAATAATTCAGACGTTTATTTAATACAATTTTTTTGTTAGGTACAAGTAAGCAATTAATACTAGGTAATTAAGGGAGTAAAAATAAACGTTCTTGTCTTCTGCCGAAATATGCACAAAAATGACTACAAGCAAAATCAAAATATCTGTATCCACAGATTTTACTAGAATGGAATTGCAAGTCGGAAGATCATGTAGAATTATCCTCGTATCAGCTTCTTCTTAGTTGCCATTTAATTTTTTAAATTTTGTGGTTTACCGTTTTTGGTCAGCAAAAAGCAACTTTCGGCATTCTTGAATCCTGCTATTATTTTTTTTTTCTCATTGCTAAGTATAGAAGGCCCCTTTTTCAAGAAATATTTGGTTGAATAATTCACTAATGCCGTTTTATTTGAAGAAGCTTTGATAAATTCTTTAAATTTTGGAACCTTTCGAGCACCAACTTTCAAATCCGCAGTAAAATCTCTACGTCCGCCCGTGTCGTCGGCGACGACAAGCAGGTACATCGCGCGCTCTGGATATTCATAACTTTAATCCAGGATAACTAGAAAACTATTTGTTCCAGATGGTTGAATTTTTTTTTTAAAACTTTTTTGATACTTTGTCGTCATATCATACGCAGATACTATGGCAAAATTCGTTCAAATAAAAAAGTTTCTCGCTTACCGAAAAACATGCTGCAATTAAAGTACGATTTGGAGTTCAATCCAGTTTCCAAAAAAAAATTGAGTCACTATGGGATTTAAACTAGCACAGTTATCACCGCTCATATGTCCTCTACTGATTAAAAAAAAAATTATGCTGATAGGTTTATTAGTTCCGGAGTTATCGC